ATGTCTTATTTCCCCACCCACCTTATCTTAAAAAAACATAATCCTATCTTTCCACCCACCATTATTCCTAAAATACCCTTTAATTATTATTTTCCTTTTATCAAACGTAATAATTTGAAACATAAAAAAAGAAGCTTAATGGAACTTAACAATTAACTCCTACAATCATTATTCTTCTTTTCTTTTCTTTTTTCTTCTTTCCTTCTTTGCGGTTTCTCCACCCAATTGTATAGGTTTTTTTTTCCCCTCTTCCTTTCTCTAAGTTTGGTTGGTTTTGGTGGTGGCTTGAGAAAATTTGGGGTTGGGACCCGAGAATTGGAGGGTGGTCTCATTGTTGAGTTGGAGGGTTTGTTAGGAGAGGCTGTACGAAGCAATGACAAATGTAGATGGCGTATAAGAAGACAGGGCTGAGAAAGAAAGGTCACCTTAAATTGAATTAAATTGAATTTGAACAATTTTGATTATTATGTAAAGATCAGTTAAGCCATTATAAAGAGAGTCTACAAAAAAAAAGAAAAAAAAAAAAAAAAAAAAACTTATGTTTGGAGAGTTTGTTTAGGGTTTAGGAAGGAAGAAGGAAAAACCAAACCTCGGCAATTGGGTGGAGAAGCTGCAGGTATAAGAAATAAGGAAAAAACAAGAAGGCTAAACTGATTGGGGGAGATATTGACAAAAAAAGAAAGATTGGGGAACGATGTTGCAAGCAAAACAAACAGGAAAGGGGGAGAGGTTGAAGAGATAGGAAAAAAAAAAGGTAAATGACGGCAGGAGTTAAGGTTCAAATTGTTAAGTTGCATTAGAGTTTTTTATTTTGTTTTTTATTATGAAAAAATTCCAATATGTTGGATTAAATTTTAATGAGGCGGTATAAGTCCTTAAAAGTCATTTTACAAAGAGCTACATTTGTCCTTAAAATTTTGAAAATAAAGTGGGTGAGAAAATAGGAAAGTGGGGTGGAAATAGTAGCACTCATTCCAAAAAAACACAAAACCTGCCAGCTATTATTATTCTCGTTTCGTGTATCTATTGAGATCAGATTCAAAGACAAGACGTGTTTTTGCATATGGATATTAACTACTTCATTACAAAAAAGAAACGTAAATTGCATATGGATATTAACTACTTCATTACAAGAAGAAGAATATTAGTTAATGGTAAGCAAATCTAAAATTGGCATATGAGATTCCCCTTCACTTTCCTTATTAGTTGCCGTCTATTCTTAATTTAAGCATGAACACCAAGAAAGGAAAGTGTTTAAGATTCCTAAGAAGTAGCGGTTTCCCTGGTGAAGGAAGGAAACAAACCTTAGAAATTCTAATAAAATGCCAAAAACGGTAAGATTTATAATAAACGAGAAGAATTAATTAATGGTAGGAAAATCTAAAATTGGAAACAAGAAAGGAAAGGGTTTAAGATTCCTAAGGAACAGGGGTTTCGTGGTGAAGCAAAGAAAGGGTTAGAAAATCTAATAACACACCCAAAAAAGGTTCAAAATATTATTAAAAAAGTAATATTGGCATATATTTTCTTCTTCTATGACTATTCATCTTTTAGCTAGCTAGCTAGGGATTGTGAGACATGTCAAACGCAAAGTATACTGATGTGGCAGTGAGGGAAAACTACGATGATCTTGGTCCCAACAACAATGCTCTTGCCCTTATAGATGATAATGGTGATCTTATGTCTAATCCAAAGGAGGGTTCTACAATTTCATCAACGGAGAGCCACCGTCTTCATCACGACACCCCCGTATGTATCAAGCTACTTCTTTATTATTAATTCTTCATTATGTTATGACTGTATGTACTATATTATAACGCTGAATGGTACGTATCTATCGATCTTTTTTCTAGAATTAATATGTTTGTTGTTGCAGATTACTTATCATGTCGTGAAGGTGGACGTGTGTTAGTATGAAATTTGTATTGTCATTTCCTAGACTCTAGCATAGTTTGAAAACTAGTGTGTGAAGAATTGTTACTGGACATTTTGGCACAACTCGTTCAACCCCATACTTCCGAGGCATGACTTGACCGATATGAGGAAACTGATTTCAGGTAAATCATGACATAATCATGCATTCATTTTAGGATTTCTAGTTTGAGTTATTTTCGATCAAGTATTTTTATGTTAATCCTATTTTTAATAGGATTAGATTTTATCTCTTAAGATTACTTTCCTAGTTGGACTCTATTTTGTTTTAATTTAAAATATTCCTTTTTATCTCAAACTTGGAGTGCACGTCCTTTATCATTCATTGTTTGCTTCATACTATAATTGGTTTTC